CAGATGTGAAAGTAAAACAACTTGAGTAGGACTTACAATTAGAGAAAAAAGCTTTTCTGAGCTCTATAGTCAGAAGTCAGCTTAATTAAAAGCTGATATTCATGATATAGTGTTTTCTTCTTTTCTTTTTCTCTTTCTTTCTTTTTTCTTTTTTTAAAGGCCTTCTGCTTTTAGTCAACTGAAATCTCCTTTAAGACATTTTTTTTTTTCTTTTTGGTGAGGTGGCTTACGACTCTAATTGCAGAACTTTGGGAAGCCGAGGCAGGTGGATTACTAGAGGTCAGGAGTTCCAGACCAGCCTGGTCAACGTAGTGAAACCCTGTCTCTACTAAAAATACAAACATTAGCCAGGTGTGGTGGCACACATCTGTAGTCTCAGCTAGTTGGGAGGCTGAGAGAAGAGAATCGTTTGAACCCAAGAAGTGGAGGTTGGAGTGAGCCGAGACTGCAACATTGCACTCCAGCCTGGGCGACAGAACAAGACTGTCTCGAAAAAAAAAGTTTTTTATGTTTGGTGCCTTTCTTGTTGGCGTGATTTTTGCCTTTGTAATTTGTTCTTCCATTTCCTTCCATGCCTGTTCTTCCTTCCTTTTGCCATCTTTGATATCACATGAAAAAAATCTAGGGGAGACTTGTAGAGACCTTGAAGTTGCACTGGGCCCTGGGGAAGCTGCAGTGTGGAGCGGGGGCATGCCGGCTGGTGCGTAGGCATGGGGGCCGCCATGTTGGAGCTCCTTGCAGGTTAGATATAGTGTGCCAGCATAGAAGCTATGATGCAGCCTCCAGGGCACCTGAGGCGGCCCTACAAGCAGGTGTGGCCAGGCTGGGGCCCTGGGAGAGGCCAGCAGACCGAGGGGTGCTCAGGTTGGACTGGCCCTATTTGATGGGCTAGACCACCTTGCAGGGTTCAGGACTGACAGTTCTCCAAGGGCTAAAGTCTCCTATGGGAGCAAGTTGAGCCTAGGGTGATGGCCATCCCTGGCCATGCTCTGCTACAGATGCTCCCGGACCAAACCCTCTGGGCTCTACATCAGCTAGTTTGCAGCCCCCTACCTCTTCTCTAAGCAGCTCTCCCTGCCAACTTGTGTCTCTGGTGGCTGAAGGGTCTCCTTCTGCTGGAGTTCCAGAGACCCGTGGTGAAAGCCAGTTGCTCCATCCCAGTTCAACTCACCTGTTCCCCTGGAGCTGCTAGGGCACGGGAACAAGACCAGGTATGCAGTAGCCCCGTGTAGGGTTCCCAGATTTCCTCCTCTCAGTCCAGCTTCTGTGTGTTCCCTCTGTTCACTCTCAGTACCTTCCCTCTGAAGATCTGCCAGGAGTATACCAGTCATCTTGGTCCCTTGGTGGCAGCTGTTTTACCTGGCTGCATCTGGTCAGCCATTTTTCCCCTACTCAAAAACTTCTTACTGTTAACATGGGAAAAACTGAATGCTCTTCTTCTAAGATCTTTACAAGGCAAAGATGCCCACTCTTGCCATTTATATTGAATATAGGACTGGATGTATGAGCAAGAGCAATTAGTCCAGAAAAAAAAGATAAAAAGTACATAAGCCCTTTTTTCGTATGTGTGTTGGCCACATAAATGTCTTCTTCTGAGAAGTGTCTGTTCATGTCCTTTGCCCACTTTTTAATGGGGTTGCTTTTTTCCTTGTAAACTTAAGTTCCTTATAGACGCTGGATATTAGACCTTGGGTGGATGGATTGTAAAAATTTTCTCCCATTCTGTAGGTTATTTGTTCACTCTGACGATAGTTTCTTTTGTTGTTTTGAAGCTCTTTTGTTTAATTAGATCCCATTTGTCAATTTTTGCTTTTGTTGCAATTGCTTTTGATGTTTTCATCATGAAATCTTTGCCCATGTCTATTTCCTGGATGGTGCTGCCTAGATTTTCTTCAAGGGTTTTTATAGTTTTGGGTTTTATATTTAAGTTTTTAATCCATCTTGACTTAATTTTTGTATAAGGCTTAAAGAAGGAGTCTAGTTTCAATTTTCTGTGTATGGCTAGCCAGTTCTCCTAGCATCATTTATTAAATAGGGAATCATTTCTCCATTGCTTCTTTTTGTCAGGTTTGTTGCAGATTAGATGGTTGTAGATGTGTGGTCTTATTTTTGAGTTCTCTATTCTGTTCCATTAGTCTATATGTCTGTTTTTGTATCAGTACCATGCTGTTTTTGTTACTGTAACCTTGTAGTATGATTTGAAGTTGGGTAGTGTGATGCCTCCAGCTTTGTTCTTTTTGCTTAGGATTGTCTTAGCTATCCAGGCTCTTTTTTTGGTTCCACATGAATTTTAAAATAGTTTATTTTTCTAATTCTTTGAAGAATGTCAGTGGTAGCTTGATGAGAATAGCATAGAAATTATAAATTACTTTGGGCAGTATGACCATTTTCACAATACTGATTTTTCTTATCCATGAGCTCAACATCACTGATCATTAGAGAAATGCAAGTCATAACCACAGTGAGATATCCATCTCATGCCAGTCAGAATGGTGATCATTAAAACATCAAGAAAAACAGATGCCAGTGAGGCTGTAGAGAGATAGGAATGCCTTTCCACTGTTGATGGGAATGTAAGTTAGTTCAATCATTGTGGAAAATGGTGTGGCAATTCCTCAAAGTCCTAGAATCAGAAATACCATTTGACCCAGCAATCTCATTCCTGGGTATATACCCGAAGGAATATAAATCATTCTGTTATAAAGATACATGCATGTATATGTTTATTGCAGCATTATTCACAATAGCAAAGACATGGAATCAACCCAAATGCCCATCACCAACAAACAAAGAAAATGCGGTACATATAGACCATGGAATACTATGCAACTATAAAAACGAATGAGATCATGTCCTTTGCAGGGACATGGGTGGAGTTGAAAGCCATTATCCTCAGCAAACTAACACAGGAGCAGAAAACCAAACACTGCATGTTCTGACTCATAAGTGGGAGCTGAACAATGAGAACACATGGACATAGGGAGGGGAACATCACACACTAGGGCCTGTCAGGGTGACGAGGGTGAGGGCGCAGGGAGGGGAGAGCATCAGGAAAAACAGCTAATATATGATGGGCTTAATACTTAGATGATGGGTTGATAGGTGCAGCAAACTACCATGGCACACATTTACCTATATAACAAACCTGCACATCCTACACATGTACCCCAGGACTTAAAATAAAAAACCAAAAAACAAAAAAAACAAACAAACAAATAAAAAAAAAGAGGTAAAAAATAAGCCTAAAAGGAAAAAGTAAATTTTTTTCTATTTGCTGATGACATTACCCTACATATAGAAAACTCAAAACACTTCAAAAATTTGTTAGAATAAATCCAGTAAAGTAGCAGGATACAGAATCAACATATAAAAATCAGTTGCATTTCTTTACACCAATAATGATCTATGTGAAAAAGAAATCAGGAAAACACAATGCATCACAATAGCATCAAAAAGAATAAAATAGAGGGTGGAACAAGGTGGCCAAATAGAACCCTCCCGTACTCATTCCCCTGCAGGGACGTCAAGTTCAACAAGTATCCTCACGAGCCCAGGCAGCACAGTGCACAGTAGACAGAATCTACCTCCTTAGGAAGTAGAAGGAACGTTAGTGTGGGATTTTGCACTGAAGCCTAGCGCTGACCCCACTGCAGTGGAACACAGCACTGGGCAGAGCCTCCACGGCCCTTGATTCTACGCTGGAGGCCACAGAGGGAGCATTTAGACCCACCCCGGGTCAGAGGGGAATCTGCTACCTCAGCAGGAGGAATCCAAGATCCCGTCCACTTCACAACCACCTAGCTAAAGTGGCTTTCGACCAGACCCTAAAACAAGGATTTGCATTCAGGTAGATTTGGGAGAAGATTTAAGGACACACCAGTGCAAGAGTGGGACAATGAGACCAGGGCAGTTTGAGAATAGATAAAGGGTGCATTATTGGCAAGTTACCTGTGAACAAAGGGAGCATAATTCCAGTGGACAACACCAGGAGGCAGTGTTATACAAGCATAAGAGTAATTCCACCTGACCAGGTATAGCACAAAGATATTTAGCCTCCGACTCCCATCATCCTGGGCTGAGTAGTGGTCCCAGCCCCTTAGTTTTCGAGTCTGTCTAGCTTGCCTGAGGACATGCCAAGAGAAAGCCTTCCCATAGAGTCCCGAGTTCACGCGGCAGGACACCAGAGGTATGTACTACAACAGTAGGTGCCGAAAACACAGCACAAGGCAACACTCACTGGTGGAATGTCCTCAAAACAAAGAAATGATAAATATTTGAAGTGACAGATGTGCTAATTATCATGATTTGATCATTATGCAACGTATACATGTATCAGAACATCACATTGTACCCTGTAAACATATACATTATGTGTGAATAAAGAAACAAAAATTATATTGTATAGAGAAAAATGCATAAGAAACAGCAAGAGGTGTAGATCAATAACATGAATGTAAATAAAGTACACCAGCATAAACAAAGCTATATGACATATATCACCCTCATGCCCCAGACATGGAGCTATTTCAGACACATTACCCAGTGCCTTCAGGTAGAGAGGCCAGTGGGAATGAGGATGATGGATGAATGGAAGAAAAAGTTTTAAAAGAGGCCTAATGGGAATTGATGAAGAAAGTAAGCCATAAACTGGGAGCGTGATTAAAGCCTTCCATCTTCCTCTTTTGCCTCCTGTAGGTTACCAGTTCTGCTTTTCCTGGACCTGTTCCAAGCTCTTGCGTTCCACATCACACATGGGACATCTGGTGTCAGGCTCCCAGAGAGCAGGAACCAGGTGAAATACAAGGGCACAGTCCTGTCAGCCAGTGGTATGGGGATAATCGGACAGTACAACTCTCCACACTTTTTTAATGGAAAGATATGAATAAGGGGTCCACAGGAGCGACCTGAGGCCCTGCAACTACATTTCCCAGGGCTCCCTGGGGTAACCCTAAGGTGACTCTGGGGGCGGGGCCACTTGGACATCCAATGAGAGCACTTTCCCCTGCAGACTTTGAAAGTGAGAGCACTTCCTCATAGACGTTGGATGTGGGAGGACTGCATTCAGTCTGGTTCCTGGTTGCCGGCTGAAATAACCTGGTAAGTGGAACTCTGTAAGGGTCTTGCAGCGTACTTTGAAATTGGGGTTTAATCCTATGTCAAGTGTGAGTACAGGAGATTAGACTCTACATGATGTCCACATTTCAAGTATAAGGTTGTTCAGAAAGTCTGACTGGCACATACTTGGAAGCTAATGCTGTCACTACTCCACATCATAGTACTGACAGTTACAGGTCCTTGATTCAAACTGTTGGGTTTAGAGTCACAGCCGCTTTATAGCTGCGAGAACTTGGCCTAGTCACTTAGTTTCCCTAAAACTCAGTTTCTTTTTCAGTAAAATGGAGCTATGAGTACTGCTTACTTAAAGAAGTTGTGAGGATTAAATACATGTATTAAAAGATAGCCAATGTGTTTAAGGCAACGTTCTCAACAGGATTTCCCTCTTTGGTTACTTGTAACCATGATGCTGACCCTCCTCTGTCCCCAGTGGTGTGTGTCCCAAAGGACCCAGTTAGTCCTACAGGCAGCAAGCTCGTAACAATTCCTGCTTCTCTTGCACTGGCTGAAAAAAAGCCCCTAAAGATCCCGGATGTCCAGAAAGATTGAATTCTGTTGTTTGCAGTGCCTATGGGAATTCCAGAGGGAAGTTTTTGTTTTTTTGAGACAGAACCTTGCCCAGTTGCCCAGGCTGGAGTGCAGTGGCACGATCTCAGCTCACTGCAACTTCCTCCTCCTGAGTTCAAGTGATTCTTCTACCTCAGCCTCCTGAGTCGCTGGGATTACAGGCACCCGCCACCGTGCCTGGCTAATTTTTGTATTTTTAGCAGAGATGGGGTTAATTTCTGCATTTTTAGTAGAGATGGGGTTTCACCATCTTGGCTAGGCTGGTCTGAAACTCCTGACCTCAAGTGATCCACCCGCCTTGGCCTCCTAATGTGCTAGGATTACAGGCGTGAGCCGCCATACCAGAGATGAAGTTTTATCACGGCTGAAGGATGCTTAGTGGAGAGGGTCTCCAGGAGGCATGAATGACAAAAAAAAAATTAACTCCTTCACTGTCAGACTGAGAGCATCACCCGCTGAACATGGACTTGCAGAATTCCACAGAAGAGAGGAGACTGGCCCAGCCAGCCAGCCTCAGGAGCTGAGGGCCCGATGGGCTTTCTTCCCTGGATGCTGCTCCCATGCCCTGACACGATGCCCACTACGATGGTATACCTGTTTGTACTTTTCTAATTAAAAAACAAACGAACAAAAAATCAAACATACTGTTTGCTCTTGAATGCTTGAAACTCAGAACAGGTGACCACACCTTCCTCCTCAAAAGGAACTTTTTAACTGCCAACTTTCTACCTGCACGCTGCCCAGAGACTTATTTTGTTTGGCCTTTGCTGTCTTCAGCAGTGGGAGCTGTTTTTCTCTCTAGATTTGTTTTCCTGGCCTGCTGCAAGTACCCCCCACTACCTGCCTGGCCCCAGTCGGCATTAACTGGGAGCAGTGAGTGGCCTTGTGGACATGAACAACTGTTGAATGATGGTCTTGAGGCGTGGCTACTCCAGCAACCCCTATTCTTCCAGAGACTCAATAGGCTGGCTTTGGCGGGGGGGCTAGGTTGTAGTGTCAATTTAGTGGGATTCCATGCCCTTCTTCCATGGTGGTAGAGACAAAAGAGAAAGAATAAGAAAAGAAAAGCCACTCATTGGCTCTCCTTATAATTCTTCTAATTATTAATGCCAGAAATCTATGCGCACGTGTAGATGATTTTATCTCAGTCCACAATTGTACTTGTGCTAATTGTAGCCTTAAGGCATAACATCTCATAGGCAGGCTACCTCTGTGTTAATCTGCTTTTAATTCTTCTATGTTGGGCTCTTGTTGATAACTTTTTTAAGAGAAAGAATAAAGGTTTCTTTAGCGATAAAGAAAAAGAAAACCACTGCTGTATATTTAACATATATAGATTCTAGGGACCTGGAATTGAACAATGAGATCTGCGTATCAACCTGCTCTCCAGGGGTACCACATCCGATAATGTGATTTATTATTGAAGTGCCAAGTCACGTAGGGATAAGTCACAATAGTTGGTCAACTGTTGAATATTGATCATTCAACTCAACAACATTCATGAACTCTGCAGAAAAACACAAGCATTTTGCCCAACATCCAGGGACCTCTAGAAGTTGCCTCATTCTGTGTATCTTACCTTTCTTTTACACAGCTCTCCAAAATGTCCACCAAGGTGACTTAAGTCAGGTTCCCCCAAACCAGAAACCAAGACAAGAATCCATGTATGAGAAACTGAAGAAAGTGCTGGGAGAGCCCCAGCTGCAGCCTGGATGTGAACTGCAACTCTGAAGTGCGTCCAGACGCAAGGCAAGGGCACTAGGCTTTTCAGACCTCCTACTAAGTCATTGATCCAGCACTGCCCTGGCAGGACATAAATCCCTGGCACTTCTAGCTCTCTGCAAAGGAGGGCAAAGCAGCTTCAGGAGCCCTTGGGAGTGCTCCAAAGGGAGTCTAGGGTACAGGTCCTAAAGTAGAAGAACACAGAAGGCTGGCCAGGGGCACTGCGAGATGGTAAAAGAGATCTGAAGGGATCTAGGTAAGTTATTGAAAGTATTCTTCCTGCGCTAACCCCAGTCCTGAATCCTTGCCAGCCAGCCCCGTGTTCCCTCTTAGGTACCCTGAGTAGGCTCTATTTTATGCCCTTCCATACCTACAGTGGAAACCAATAGGTTGGTTGGTTGGTTTGTTTTCAGACAGAGTCTCATTCTGTTGCTCAGGCTGGAGTGCAGTGGCACGATCTCAGCTCACTGCAACCTCCACCTCCCAGGTTCAGGTGGTTCTCCTGCCTCAGCCTCTCGAATAGCTGGGACTACAGGCAAGTGCCACCACACCTGGCTTTTTTTTTTTTTTTAATTTTTTATTAGAGATGGGGTTTCATTGTGTTGGCCATGCTGGTCTTGAACTCCTGACCTCAAGTGATCCACTCGCCTCGGCCTCACAGTCCTGGGATTACAGGTGTGAGCCATTGTGCCCAGAACCAATAGGTCTAAGGGGTCTCATTTGAGTCGTCATATATATATATGTTTTTTTTTTTCAATTTTTTTGTCTAAAAAACTTTAGACAGGGAATGCACTCTCCAGTTCTCTTCAAGCGCTACCCCCCTCATTTTATTATACCTAGATAGGTCTTGCCTTTACATTTCAATAATTTAACCAATATGTTCCATTAAAAATCTTTTAATTGGGGGCCATCAGACTGGGTGACTCCTGTGGTTTCATTTTCATTCTTTTTACTGTTTACCAGTAAACAGTAGAAAACTAGAGACTTCACCAATCAGAAACTGTCAACTAACCTCTAACTAGGGACTTTTCACTCTAACCAACCAAATAGCTTTTCCTTGTCTCACTCCTGCAAACAGTTTATAAACGTTTCTCTCCTGCCCTCCCCTTTCCTCAGCAGAGCATTGAGCCACCCGTGGTCTGGTGCTGCCTGACTCATGAATTGCTGTCTAATAAACTTAAAAAAACATACCTAAGAAATGATCTTTTAACAATTCCAGTGTTGACAATGCTGGATTGGACTCTCCTAGACTTTGGTCTTTCTTAATCTTCAGATTTAATTTTTAACTTCATATTTCTATCTCCATATAAGCCAAAATGACTCATTCAAAAGCCATAACTCTCATAACTTTTCTACTCTTTGTTCTGTATTGAAAGGAGTCAGTGTTCACCAGCACTCCCTTACTGTGACCCCTCTACTTCTCGGTTTTCATATTCATCTGCTTGTTCACTGGCCATGAAACAGAAACTATCAGGACACCTCAGTTATTGCATTTCTCAAGCTTTTTTATGTTTGATATTACCTTTATATTCATGTTGCCTTTATGATCAAGTGAAATACTAGCCAGAATATTTGGAGCACATACTTTCCCTTCAATAATTTGAAGATATACTTCTATTACTTCACCAATGGATATTTCTGTGTGACATTCTCTCGCTGGCCTGATGTTTTCTCTTTCATGAAATATTTTCTTTCTCTGCCAGATGCTTGAGTAGTTGTCTTTAATTTTGACTTTTAATAATTTAACAAAAATATATTCCAGGGGCAAACATGTTGTATCGAACTTTTCCAGAATTTTGTCTTTTGTTTTTCAGCTTCAATGTTTTCATCATTTCAGGAAAATATTTATCTTTACATACATTTTTCTTTTTTTTAACTTTCAAATCCAGGGGTACAGGTACAGGTTTGTTATATAGGTAAACTTGTGTCATGGGGCTTTGTTGTACAGATTTTATCACCCGGGTGTTAAGCCCAGTACCCGTTAGTAGTTCTTCCTGATCCTCTCCCTCCTCCCACCCTCCAACCTGTGAAAGGCCCCAGTGTGTGCTCTTTCCTTCTTTGTGTTAATTAATTCTCATCATTTAGCTCCCACTTATAAGTGAGAACATGCAGTATTTCATTTCCTGCTCCTATGTTAGTTTGCTAAGGATAATAGCTTCCAGCTCCATCCATGTTTTCATGAAAGACACGATCTTGTTCTTTTTAGTGGCTGCATCGTATTCCATGGTGTATAAGTACCACATTTTCTTGATCCAATCTGTCACTGATGGGCATTTAGGTTGATTCTGTGTCTTTGCTATTGTGAATAGAGCCATACATTTTTCTATTGCACTTTTTGCGTTCTCCACTTCAGAAGCACCAAATGTCTTTGCATTGGCTTGTCCTTGACTGCTTTCTATTAGATTCTATCTTCATTGCTTTATCATTTAATTAGCCTTTAGTATGAATATCAAGCTTTCCTTCCACATAAGCAATGTGATATGACATTGTATCTATCTAGTTCCTTTCTGTTCATCATTAATTATATAGTCTGTTGATCATTAATTAGTTCCATTTCTGTCCTTAATGAGTATTCTAAGGTATGAAATCTTTCCTTTCATAAAACTATTATTTACCACTTTATTTTTAGCTGTTTGTTATTGAGTTTATTTTACATGGTCCATAGCCTCAGATACCTTTACAAAAATTTTTTTTCAGTTTATTTTTCTTTTTAAATTGGTTGTGGTTTTTTTGTATATAACTTCTGCATGTTATGTCTTTTCTTCTAATCTCAATTTCATAGTATTTTCATTTTGTTTGTTTTCATCATTTTTATGTGTATACAGCTCTGTTTCCAACTTTTTTGTTGCTTGAATCTGGTACAGCTGGTGAGATGTCCAACTGGGGTTGGCGTAGACTTGTGAATCGAGGAAAATGACGAGATGAATCTCAATCATTTTAGGAGATTTATTTGCCCAAGTTAAGGATGTGGGCCTGGGAGAGAGATCTATGCCTTTCTCTGAAGATGATTTTGAGGGCTACAAATTTAAAGGGGAAAGGATGGGGTATCAAGAAGCACAGTTTTCATGTAAGAGCGGGGTTGGGAGGAAAATGGTCATTCATGGCTTTGTCTGACTCCGTGAATGTGCATTTTTTGCGTAGGACGACATAAACAAAAGAGGCAGAGGAAAAATGCAGGGACTCTGCATTTTATGTAACATACCTGGTGGCTCAGATGCTACTCTTTTAGCTGTGGGTTCAACCAATTGGTTACCCTGACTCTGTGGTGTCTAATTTTGAGTGACCTGGGATTTTTATAATTGTCAAATGTTTTGGTTTTAGAATAGCTTGTAACAGCTCTGATACTTGCTGTCCATTTTCTATGGGTTGCCCTGAGGAGGTTAAATACCCTCTCTCTTTCCATAGCATCCCAAAGGCACGAGCAACCCCAAAAGCATAGCAGCTGTCAGTGTAAATGTGTGCAGCCTTCTCTTTTGTCACTTGACAAACTCGAGTCAGGGCAGTCAGTCTGGCCACTTGAGCCAATCTGGCTTGGGGAAGAGGACCAGCTTCAGTTACCTCTAGTAAGGAAACCGCCGCATATCCTGCTCTAAAATTTCCATTTTATCCTCTTAAATAAGATCCATCTGTATACCATTCTATCTCAGCATTATCCAATGGCATCTCTTGGAGGTCTGTCCTGGGGGTGAGAAGTGGGTCAGTCATCAGAACACAGTCATGAGGGGAGTTGTCGGAAGGGCCCAGCAAGAGAGTGGCTGGATTAAGATTATAGAGCAGGAAATAGTAATATTGGGAGATGATAAAAGCAAAATTTCATAAGAGGCTAACCAGTTGACAGACAGATACTGGGTATGATGAGAATTTAGAAGGGTCTCAATAGGATGTGGCACAAAAATGGTAAGGGGGGAACCCATAATTATTTCTTCAACAGACTTGTACCGAAGGGCGATGGCTATTATTACTCATACACAAGGAGGCGGCCCTCGAGCCACAGCGTCCAGCTGCTGGCTATAATAGCCTACAGGTCTCTGATGATCACCATGTTCCTGTGTCAGTATCCTGGATGCAGTACCTTCAGTTTCACATACAAAAAGGGAGAAAGGCAATCTGTAGTTTGGGTGCCGTGAGGCTGGGGAATTAGTTAGAATTTCCTTTATTTGTGATATAGCCGATTGTCCCTCTGGAGTCCACATGATGAGATCAGGTTGTTCATTTTTTAGGTATGCATATAGAGGGTGAGCCATAAAGGAGAAATGTGGTATCCAGTTTCTACAACAGCCTGCCAGTCCCCAAAAATCCTCTAAGTTGTTCCTTGGTGATGGGCATTGGGAAAGCTAAAATTTTTCTCACTTTATCAGGGTTAATACTCAGTCCTTTGACCGAGATAATATGCCCCAAATACTTAACTTGCAGTAAGCACAGCTGAAGTTTGTCTTTGGACTCTGTACCCTTGCTGGCTGAGTAAACATAGACTATCTTCCTGGGAGGAAGATTCTGGGCCTGGACAAAGGAGAGGGTCATCCACGTACCGAATGAGTGTTGAGCCCTGGGGAAAAATTAAATCCTCTAAATCAGTTTTTAGTATTTGGGAAAAGTAAGTGGGACTTTCTGTATACCCTTGGGGCATTACAGCCCACATATATTGCCATTCTTTCCAAGTAAAAGCAAACAAATACGGGCTGTCTGGATCTACAGGAATACTGAAAAAGGCACTGCAGAGAGTCACCACTGAGAAATACTGGCTGGTAGTGAGTATAGCTGATAGAACGGTATGTGGGTCAGGGACTACTGGGTGACTGGCTATTACAATATTGCTTATTGCCCTCAAGTCCTGCACAAATCTCCATTTTCTCCTGCTCGGTTTCTTTACAGGGAATATAGGGCTGTTGCAGGGGCTTGTGCAGGGAATAATGAGCCCCTTTTTAGATAACCTTGCGTAATAGGGGCAATTCCATTTACGACTTTCTGTCATAGAGGGTATTGTTTAAGGTTGCGTAGGGGTTTCTTTGGGTTTATCTCTACCTTTATTGGAGTGGCTGAGAATACTTTCCCTATGTCTGTATTGACTGAGACCGTAACTGGGAGGGGACATCCTTGAGCAAGCATCCTCTTCTGGTGTTAGCAGGAAGACTGGGGAAGCTAAAAGCAGTTTTCCTGTTTCCCACTCTTTATCCCAGTGTTTTCTCTTCTCCCCTATTACTTCCTTCTGTGTCTCCATTTCATTTTCCCGGCCACAAGATGATGTTTCAACATTACTAGTACTAAATTGTGGTACGTCATCCGGACATTTTATAATTCAGTATTTTTGGTCTCTCGGCCCCAATTCTAAAAAAAAGTTCACTTTTTGATGAAAAAGAGATTTGGGCATTATGGATGTTGAGGAGATCACGGCTCAGAAGACTGACAGGGGCCCCAGGGCATCTAAGAAATGTATGGTACCTACTGAGCATGTCATATACTCTTAGAGCCTGCGGCAGGGGAGCTGAACCAGGTGGAATGGTAAGGTAGAGGTTTGGACTTAAAACAAGAGATCATTTTATTAGACACAGCCACCATGGTAATTCTGTCATTACTCTGAGGAATGGGGTTTCTAAATAAGGTGGGATTGATCAGAGATATAGTTGTGTCTGTGTCAATTAAGGCAGCTGTAAGCTCATGGTTTATTATTATATTAATGTCTCCCAATTTATTTGTCACGGTGAAGTTTTAACAGCTCACTAGGAGTTTCCTTGTGGGCAAAATATGGGGGAGGTGTGTGGCTTTTCATCTTGTAGCCATCTTATTCAGGAACCAAGAAAGGGGGAGGCAGATTTACATGACGCACTTACCAGCTTGACTTTTCCCTTTGGCTAAATGAGTTTGGGGGTCCCACAATTTAATTTCCTTTCACAGACTCCTCATTTTTTTTTAGTGGAGGTGAGGGGAGGTGACCATGACAAGAGATGCTCTGATGGCGGATCTTCTGTATGTAGATGGTCCTTCTTTCTTTTGAGTAGCATCATACATTAAGGGCCTTACCTTGTTTATCTGCCTCAACACACCCAATTATAGTTGTACCTAGAGGAAGACCAGGTGCTGGCACTACGTCCTCGTCTTTGATGTGTTTGGCGTATGTCATGGCAGTGATTGGGGGCGTGGAGCCTGGTTCAGCCTTCCTTGCTGATCTCATGGCAGTTCATTAGCTGGTGGGTTGTCTCTGGAGGCTGTGGAAGCCCCGCTCCTGGTGGCTTTCCCAGCTTCCAGGTTTTTAAGCCAGAAGGCTCTAGCCCCATCAGCGTTGCTCCCATCTCCATAGTTATAGTTTCCACACACTTTCTTATACAACTCAAATGTTTGCTTTACTGTGCAGTCCATTCCCTCTGTTTTGTGATTTTTAGGAAATCTTCATAATTTATGGTCTACAAAACTATTATTTTGTTTTCAAGGAAGTCATGTTATATATTTCTAACTGTCTTTTCTCTTATTTCTAGAATTCAAGCCAGGAAGAAGCAGCATTCTGTCTTCTGGATTAAAACTGAAGCTCAACCTACTTTCAGCTTACTAAGAAAGGTATTAAGCGCCTTTCTGAGAGCTCTCAGTAGGCTTCCTAAGCACGTTCACTCTGTCTCCTTTAAATCTTATATTTATGATCAAGATGAAAGGGAGGGAGGGACGTATCACTGCATATTTACAAGTGGATATATAAAGCTAATAGTATTTTCAGTGAGCTCTTTTCCTGAGCTACTTTCCAAGTGTTTGCAGCATTCCACCTTGAAGCACAGCATTAGTAATGCACAATTTCTTATGTTCAGCCACAGAATGTTCAAGTGTGATTTGGTTACAACATACTGCTCTATCCAGGCCTCTAACTTGTTTCAAATGGACTTGCAGTTGTTAAATTCTAAATCAACACCTTATCTTAAAAATTAAGAAAAGGAGGGGAAGGATGGAGGGAAGGGAACAGAGAGAGTACAAGAGAGAAAGAAAGAAAAAAGAGGAAAACAAATGCTTGTAAACAAGTTATACCAAATAAAAGAGATATAAAGAAATTTCTTAATAGAAGGAATGATATTCTAAGCAAGAATCAAATGTCCAGGTATGTATAAACTGCCTTCTTCCTTTTGGATCAGCTTCTCTCTCTTCTTTACATACTCAGTACAAATTCTAGGTTAGGGGGCACAGAGGGGTTGGCAAAGTCTGACTAAATACAACTTGTTCTCTCTCTGAGTGGTAGAACTTTAGAGCTTGACCAAATGTTAAGAAAGGGTGCTGGTGGAAGTTAGGATGAGAAGAAATGCAATCTAATACATTTAGGAGAAATGATGTTGTTGACGTCAAGGACAGAGAAAGTTGGAAACTGGCAATATGGGGAGGATAGCTGGGTCAGAAAGGAAAAATAGGAGAATATAGAAGAAATGTTATGACAAGGGAAAATAAGAGATGCTTCACTTATTATCATTCAACTGGGGGCAGCTCCCTTTTACAAGGTCATCCTCAGGCCATACCACATTACAAAAGAGTTATACTTGAGGTCTGTACAGCACTGTTACAATCAAAGTCTAAAAACATTAAGATTCCATGATGGCAGGTTTAAAAAACCTTTTCTAAAAGATGTAACAAAATAAGGGGCATTTTTTTTTTTTTTTTTTGGTTCACATTACCTGAAAGTTAAAAGATAGCTTTTGGCTTCATTGAGGTGTTTCCTCATTCTGCCTTCTCTTGTTTTTCATTTCTTGGTAAACCTGGTGAACCCTTTGTTAGTGTTGTTCTTCAGTAGGTTCTCACCAATAGCTTTGAATGAATACCCCACCAGCTTCTACTCACCAATAGCTTTGAATGAATACCCCACCAGCTTCTACCTTGTAGCAGAATGTACACGCTGAGGTTTCAGCAACAGTTCCTCAATGAAGTCTCAGCTCTACGTAAGGCATATGTTGTCCATGAGTTGAGCACTGGTCCTAGAGCATATGTGTTCAAATTGGTTCCACCTAGTTCATGTGACTGTCCATAAGTCGCAATATGGGCAGCCTATTCTCTATGCAGTAGCCAGAAAGATCACTTTGATTGTAGCAAACATTGCTCAATTACAACCTTTCTCTCAGGCCTCTCTCATTTACATTTCTCACTTCACTTAGAGTAAAAGCCAAAATGCCAGTCTTAGCTCCAAGGCTGCAGTTGCCTGTCAGATCTCATCTCAATCCACTCTCCTTCTCACTCACGTGCTCCAGCTGCCCTGGCTTCCTGAACGTTTTCTGAACGCTCAAGGCATTTTCCAGCTTAGGGCCTTGTTATTTTCTGTTCTCCTGCTTGGAACAATCCTCCTCACGCATATCCTTAGGCCTTATTCTCTGGCATCCTTCAAATCATAGTGAGTTTTTTTTTTTTTTTTTTTTTTTTTTTTTTTTTTTTAACCAACTAATTTGAAATTGGAGCTCTCCCTGTGCACTTACTAAATCCTTTCTTTAGTTTTCCCAGGGCACTTATTACAATCTAACAGACTGCATGTTTTATCCACGTATTCAGTTTCCTATGTATGTCACTCCAACTCCCACTATAATATAAGATTTTTGAGAGTAAACAAGCACTAGATCAGTAGGAAACACATTATAGCTATTCAGTAAACTGTTTCTTGAGTTAATCAATCAATGGATGAGTGAATCAATACAGTTCTTTGAGTGGGAAAGTTTGTATAAGCCTCAGCTAAAAGGGAAATTGAGTAGGTCAGGTACCACAGATACTATACACTGTATTGCATGATTCTCCTGCCTGCATCAGAAGATGTTTATAAGCCTATTTTAATGAATACCAATTGGAATCTCCCTTTTATTAATCACCAAGAGAACCATGAGCAAGCTGTTTATCATTTGACTCATCATTTAGTCTTGATTTCCAACTTCTCACACTTGAAATAAGACATAATACATTTCTTACAGGATTCTGGGACTACTAACTGAACTTACGTGTGTAAAAGGAATTTATATAATAAAAGCACTAGAAATATTATGCTTATAACCATTGTGTTTTTACATATTTAAAATATAGCCATAATTAGCCTACTCAAATCCAAGTGTGAAAGAAATATGATTTGCTTTTGTTTTGTTTTCCTTGCTTAGGGGATCATGGACATTGAAGCATATCTTGAAAGAATTGGCTATAAGAAGTCCAGGAACAGATTGGACTTGGAAACATTAACTGACATTCTTCAGCACCAGATCCGAGCTGTTCCCTTTGAGAACCTTAACATCCATTGTGGGGAAGCTATGGACTTAGGCTTAGAGGCCATTTTTGATCAAGTCGTGAGAAGAAATCGAGGTGGGTGGTGTCTCCAGGTCAATCATCTTCTGTACTGGGCTCTGACCACTATGGGTTTTGAGACCACGATGTTGGGAGGGTATGTTTACAGCACTCCAGCCAAAAAGTACAGCACTGGCATGATTCACCTTCTCCTGCAGGTGACCATTGATGGCAGGAAGTACATTGTCGATGCTGGGTTTGGACGCTCATACCAGATGTGGCAGCCTTTGGAGTTAATTTCTGGGAAGGATCAACCTCAGGTGCCTTGCATCTTCCGCTTGACGGAAGAGAATGGATTCTGGTATCTAGACCAAATCAGAAGAGACCAGTACATTCCAAATGAAGAATTTCTTAATTCTGATCTCCTAGAAGACAGCAAATACCGAAAAATCTACTCCTTTACTCTCGAGCCTCGAACAATCGAAGATTTTGAGTCTATGAATACATACCTGCAGACTTCTCCAGCATCTGTGTTTACTAGCAAATCATTTTGTTCTTTGCAGACCCCAGATGGGGTTCACTGTTTAGTGGGCTGCACCCTCACCTATAGGAGATTCAATTACAAGGACAATACAGATCTGATAGAGTTCAAGACTCTGAATGAGGAACAAATAGAAAAAGTGCTGAAAAATATATTTAATATTTCCTTGGAGAGAAAGCTTGTGCCCAAACATGGTGATAGATTTTTTACTATTTAGAATAAGGAGTAGGCTGGGCACAGTGGCTCACGCCTGTAATCCCAGCACTTTGGGGGGCCGAGGTGGGCGGATCACGAGGTCAAGAGATCGAGACCATCCTGGCTAACATGGTGAAACCCCGTCTCTACTAAAAACAAAAAAAAAATTAGCTGGGCGTGGTGGCGGGCACCTGTAGTCTCAGCTACTCAGGAGGCTGAGGCAGAAGAATGGTGTGAACCTGGGAGGTGGAGCTTGAGTGAGCTGAGATCGCGTCACTGCACTCCAGCCTGGGCGACCAAGTGAGACTCCATCTCAAAAAAAAAAAAAAAAAAAAAAAAAGAATAAGGAGTAAAACAATCTTGTGTATTTGTCACCCAGCTCACCAGTTATCAACTGATGACCTATCATGTATCTTCTGTACCCTTACATTATTTTGAAGAAAATCCTAGACATCAAATCATTTCACCTATAAAAATGTCAGCATATATAATTAAACAGCTTTTTAAAGAAACATAACTACAAACCTTTTCAAATAATAAAAATAAAGGTATTTTAAAGATGGCCTGTGGCTACCTTGGAAATCGGTGATTTATGCTAGAAAGCTTTTAATGTTGGTTTATTGTTGAATTCCTAGAAAAGTTTTATTGGTAGATGAGTAAAATATTGTGAAAAAATTTATTGTCTATAAAGTATATTCAAACATTGTTGGCTAATATAATTTGAATTAAAATGGTTTTGTTGGAGGACTTACGATATTATGGGGCTACATAATTTTTCCCGAATGTTCTCTTCCTCTGATCTTTCTTGTCTCTTAAATTATTTTACTTCCTTGTGCTCTTTGCCATATGAGAATGAACATGAGCTTTTCTTGTGTAGATCTGAGTTGAAATCCTGTGGACACTGGGTGAATTACTTTTTGTATCTGTAGCTCTGACTCCTTAGGCATAAAATGGGAATAATGCTTTTGCAGTTCAGTGGCAGAACTAAACTCCCAACACATATTTGTTATATGGATCAATTAATAATGTCAGTCATGTTTTTGGTGCTAAGTCATTATTTAATAAAAGTTATTCTTCTATCTTGCTTGCCCCCCCACCCCCCGCACCCCTGTCATCTGCCTGCTTCTTTCTTGATTAAATATTGGTAAGATATTAGATGCCCAAGATCTAAGAGTGCCTCAGAATCTGAATCTTTGCATATCTATAATTCAGATTTTCTGTTTGTGGATTCCAGTATCAGGACTATAGTTTAACTTGCAGACTTGATCTTACACTATTCTTCCTCTTCAACTTGTGATCATTGTAATAAGGTTAAGAGAAAGGCAGGGACTAGAATGAAGAAATTTTAGTTAAGAGAACAAGGTATGTTGTAACATGGGTATTTTATGTGGCAATATAACGGTTGGGAGTTGCTGGTGTGGGTGGATATCTTATGAAGAGGTAGAAATGAGACATGGCCTCAGTGGGAAGGAAGGATGAAAGATATATTTTGGTATTTGATGGCTTGCCATCTTCCTTACTGTACTGGCCTTTTTCAACTCTGCTGCTATCTGGCAGCAATGCCAGGTCACTTCTTGTACTCTTGGGCAGAAATGAGTTTTTCACTTTCTGACCAGGACCATGCCTATGGAGTAGATGTTGACAAGAAACACTGAGCAGATCAAAATGTGGCTCAAGGAGAATGGCACAGTTTTGTTCAAATGAATCAAGGAAGTCTTATCGCACAAGAGTATCCTGGAACTGAATGCAATTGACTTTTTAGAAATATATATCACATATGGAAAAAAAAATGACCTGGAATATGTTGAAAGACATGTATATAATATTTAGCATCTAGATTGATGACTTCTGCCCTGACTATGCAATGTTAACTTTTCTCAAGTGAAATCTAAATGAGTGAAGGAGAATAATCTTGCCAATTCACTTGGTCAGAGATCTTAAGATGACTCCTAATTACTTGTGTTTGTCCAAACTATTGTCTCTGTTTTTGGTGGCCCCTTGGAGATTAGAATGTGCCATGTCCTGTCAAGACCCCAAGACAAGTAAGGTAGAATCCAAACACTTTGTATATAGCCGGAAATGTGGGGGTGTTGGATGTATATTTCAGTTTCTTCTATCATGATGGTGAAGCTGAGTGTGAACCTTTATCTCCCATTCTCTGCACTAAGCCAGGGAGATAATCTGTGACAAATGCCGCTACTGGTGTTTAGGTTGTACTCTCGTGGGGAGAGAGCTACTAGAAGTTGGCCCAATTGTATATTTGCCAGTTTGTTTCCGGTGTCTAGGGCCACTCAGAAATGCACAGCCCCATTGACTCCCAGGCTAGGTCATTAAAGAGACAGTCCCTTCTATGAGCACTACACAAGTTGTGGCAGTTGGTGTGTGGATCAACTACCTCTAAAAAATATGGGTAGACTTGGAATAATCACTGGAGTGAGCTAGAGGAAAGGCTCAGGAGGTGATATCCTTCAGCTCAGGCTTTTGGAGGGTTACTGTTTGTCTACCCCATTAGCTCACCAACGCAAATTCAGTGGAAGTCAAGCTGCCAAGTAGCCACTTAAAAAATGTGCAATAGGCTGGGTATGGTGACTCATGCCTGTAATTCTAGCACTTTGGGAGGTCGAGGCAGGTGGATCACCTGAGGTCAGGAGTTCGGGACCAGCCTGGTCAACGTAGTGAAGCCCGTCTCTATTAAAAATACAAAAATTAGCCATGTGTGGTGGTGGGTGACTGTAATCGCAGCTACTCAGGAGGCTGAGGCAGGAAAATTGCTTGAACCCAGGATGGGGAGGTTGCTGTGAGCCAAGATCACACCACTGCACTCCAGCCTAAGCGACAAGAGCAAGACTCTGTCCGAAAAAAAAAAAAAAAAAAAAAAAAAAGTGCAATAAACCCCTTCTGGAGAAAAAAATTGGGCTGTGCATTCCAGCTTTTTTGTGTGTGCACTACACCCAGAAAGCATACTCTATGGAAACCCATCTTTGTTCTGTGACCTAGAGAAACACACATGCCTAGTCTCCTTTACTGTTAGTGCCAGGAGGCTTAGGATGCTGTCCTTCATGTGGAAGCTGTAAAAGTTGGGGCATAAGGAAAATAACTGCCAGTTGAAAATACTATTTTCAATTGTATTCTTCAAATCTATTCTTCAAACATGAAGGGGAGATAAAACCCAAAGCTAAAGAAGTAATCACCACCAGACTTGTCTTACAAGAAATGCTAAAGGGATTTCTTCATCTGAAAGGAAAGGACGCTAACATGCAACAAGAAAATATGTGAAGGTATGAAACTCACGGGTGAGAGTAAGTACACAGACAGATTTATAATACTCTAAGAGTGCAATTGTGGTGTGTAAACCACAATATCTTTAGTATGAAGACTAAAAGACAAAGCTACCAAAACTAATGACAACAATTTGTTAGGAGATGGGCAATATAAAATGATGTAAATTGTGCCAACAAAAAGTCAAAATACGGGAGGCATGGAGTAAAAGTGCAGAGTTTTAAACTTTTTTTATTGGCTTCCTTTCTTTGTGTGGAATGTTAAGTTTCCATCAGTTTAAAGTAACTTGTTATAGCTTTAAGATTTTTTTGTAAGCCTCATAGTAACTACAAAACGAAAGGTTGTCATAGACATACTAAAAATAAAAAGAAAGTAATTAAAACACACTCCCAGAGAAAATCACTTAACCACAAAGGAAGTTGGGAAGGAAGGAAGAACAGAATTAAAAACAATCAAACCTGGGCATGATGGCATGTACCGACAGTCCTAGATACTCAGGAGGCTGAGGCAGGAGGATCACTTAAGCCCAGGAGTTAAAGGATTCAGTTAGCTATGACCACATCAATGCATTCAAAACTTGTTGACAGACAGCGACCTTGTCAAAACAAAATAATACAAAATAAAATAAAAACAAAAAACTAGGCATGGTGGCTCATTCCTGTAATCTCAGCAGTTTGGGAGGCTAAGGTGGGCAGCTCACTTGAGCCCAGGAGTTCAAGACCAGCCTGGGCACCATGGCAAAACCCCATCTCTACTATAAATACAAAAATCAGCCAGGTGTAGTGGCACATTCCTGTAATCCCAGCTACTTGGGAGGCTTAGGCATGAGAATTACCTGGGAGGCAGAGGTTGCAGTGAGCTGAGATTGTGCCATTGCACTCCAGACTGGGCAAGAGAGTGAGACACTGTTTCAAATAAATAGGTAAGTAAATAAATAAAACAGCCAAAAAACAAGTAACAAAATGGCACAAGTATGTCTTTATCTAGCAATAATAACAATGCATGTAAATGGAAAAAATTAAAAGATGTAGAATAGCTGAATAGATTTTAAAAAAATACTCAATTATATGCTGTCTACAAGAAACTCATGTAGCCTATAAAGGCACATGTAAACTGAAAGTAAAGAGATGGAAAAAGACACTCAATGCAAATGGAAACCAAAAATGAGCAGGAATAGCTATATTTATATCAGATAAAACAGACTTCCAGTCAAAATTGTAAAATGAGGCAAAAAGGTTACTACGTAATGATAAAGGGATCAATTCAGCAAGATGGCAAGATGATATAACAATAATAAATATATATGCACCCAACATGAAGTAGCCAAGTACATAAACATTAATAAATCTAAAGGGAGAAGTAGACAGCAATAAATAATATTAGGGAACTTTAACAACCCACTTTCTACAATGGACAAGTCATCCAGACAGAAAATCAACAAAGAAACAAAGGAGCTAAACGGCATTCTAGACCAAAAGGACATAACTGAGATTTGTAAAACACTTTATCCAACTGCTACAAAACACACAATCTTTTCACTAGTACACGGAACACTGTCCAGGATATACTATATGTTAGGCCACACAATGATGTCAACAAATTTTTGAAGTTGAACTCATATCAAGTATCTTTTCTAACTGCCATGAAATAAAACTGGGAATCAATAACAAGAGGGATTTGGGAAAGCATACAAATACATAAAAATTAAACAGCATGCTCCTAAACAACCAATAGGTCAATGAATAAATTAAGAATGAAAATTAAACATTTTGTGACTCAAATGAAAATGGAAGCACATCATATCAAAACCTGTGAGATTCTTAATACAGCAAAAGCAGTATTAAGACAAAGTTTATAGTAATACATGCCTATC